GGTTCCTTGGTATGGCTAAACTACCTGCGGCCGCGTGAGCGTTGTCCTGATGAAAATTAAGCCACGCCCACTTCTACAGAAGCTACGCCCACTTCTTAAAAGGCCACGCCCCCACGGGTAACTGGTGAGGGGGTGAGGGGAGTAAAGACTGGGAAGGGGAGAAGAACAGCATAGATTGTCTGAGAGGTAGGGGAGAAGACCAGCACAACCTGTCCGAGAGGATGCCTGGCGGGCTTGCAGGGAGAAATCCAAGTCCTGGGTTCAAGTACCAGAGGATGAACTGACCTGGGTTTGGGAGAAGATCAGCACAGCTTGGGGAGCAAAGAGGAAGAGCCCACCCATCTTCTTTTCCCAAGGATTGCTTTAGCTATTCTTGGGGCTTTAGATGAAACTCTTCTTCCAGAATCCTTTAATCTTTAACTCCATTTGAGGTAAAAAGGAAGTTACTCCATTCAAAAAGCATTAAAAACTTTTTACACTTAGATATCAATTTCTTTTTTTAATTTTATTTATTTTTTCTTTTTATATTTATTTATTGAATCACTGTGGGGAAAGTTACTAAGCTTTCAGGTTTAAGTCTCGGTCATACAATGATCAAACATCTTTCCCTTTACCAGTACTCATTTTTCACCACCAAGAACCCCAGTATACGCCCCCTCCCACCCCTCCAAATGCCTGTGAGGCAGATGATTTCTATTTAACTCTTCTCTAAATTGATTAAATTCACTATTTTAACAAAAGATGCACCATTATTGTTTAGAATTTCCTCTCAAACAATCAGAATTACTGAAAAGGCATTGTGAAATATTTTGTTTTTTATAGCTGGTTATGAGAATCATATAATGTCACATGGCCACAATATTGGATTTCTGCAACGAGCCAGATAATTACGAGATTGGTTTCTGTGTGTCTGGTGTTATGGCTGAGCCAGAGAGCCTCTCATGGGGGGTAACTCATGACCTCGGTAGAGCGTGAAAGACGTGCTGGTACCGCCCCCCTTCCCATGAGACTGCAGTTGCCCTGTTACTGCTGGCTCATACCTGGCTTTCCTATAAGCTCTGAGGCGGTGGCCACCTTGCTGCCAGGGGTGGGGGGGGAAGGTGGAAGGGAGCAACACCCTTTCCCCCTCCCGGAGGCTAAGTCTTTTTGCCTCTGGAGTTATGGCTGTGCCAGAGAGCAGTTTGTGGGGGGCAACTCATGACCTCCATACGGCATGAAGGACGAGCCAGTACTGCCCCCCTTCCCATGAGACTGCAGTTGCCCCTTCACCACCGGTTCATACCTGGCTTTCCAATAAGCTCTGAGGTGGGGGCCACCTTGCTGCCAGGGGGGGGAAAAGGCGGAAGGGAGCAACACCCTTTCCCCCTTCCGGGGAGGCATAGCGCCATAGTTTAACGGATGGTCCATTCACTTTTCTTCTGCAAGCTGCGGGGCTCTAGACTAAGTCCTTTTGCCTCTGGAACCATGGCCGTGCCAGAGAGCCGCTGGCAATGCTCAGAGCTGACTCCTGATTGCACACAGGAATCACTCCTGGAAGAGCTTAGTCGACTGGTGCAGGACAGGTGCCCTGCCACTGAACTATCTCTCCTGCCCCAACAACTTTATATTTTAAGGATGCCTATTGCTTTGCTGTGTGAACTACCCCAGCCTCTGCTCTCCATGTACCTCGGGAATTTTGCTGTACTTACTGTCCTTGATGTCTCTGTGAACTTCAACAAGACTCATCTGTGGGCTGGTGGGGCTGGGAGAGCAATATTACATTGATTGACCTGCCTGTGAGACCACTGATGGTTACCCATGTGACCCTAAAGCTTGGACAATCTTCATGTTTGTGTACTTATGTGTTTGTTTCATTCTCTCTGACTGAGTCCTGTTTTATGGAGGTTGAAATTGACAATTGGATTCGGCAGATGAGAATTTAGACAGATTATAACCAATTATTGTGATAAACAAATTACACCATCTATTAGAAATCCCAAGTAGAGTGGGATAATTGGGGAGCTATAAAACGAATCAGAATAACACAAGGAATTACTGAAGTTGCAATTGGTGGTGCTCAGAGCCTACTCCCTGTGCATAGTGATCACTCCTGGCAGGCTCAGAGGACCATTGGGATGCAAAGTTTTGAACTTGGGTCAACCATTTCCAGTGCAAATGCCCTACAAGTGTTTGATATCTCTTAGATCCTGTATGAGCATCTAGCTAGTCAAATCTCATTTTCAACTTAAGATAATCTTACATTCCCTTCAGTGCTCTCCATCATTGTAAAGCTCCATTTGGGGGAGTCATTATAATGAAAAGCCAAAATAGTTTGAAAATCAAAGTAAAGCAGAGAACAAGTCTGGCTGTGTCTAATTTAAGTCCCAAGTTCAAGATGTTGCTACTTGCCAAATAGCCACACAATTTCCATTAACAAGTACTGTGTTTATTTAGGAGTGAAATAGAAAAAGATTATTAAGTTTTATATATACTGGTTTCAAAGATTTGTTCCTGGAGCACTGTACTGTTTTACAAACTGTTATGTTCTTGAAATGCTGTTTTGTTTAGTTTTCTGTGATTGCTCTAATTAATCACCTGATAGCTTGAACATCAGAAGAAGAAAAAAAATCTGCACTCCTAGAAGCCAGAAATTTAATATAAAGATCACTGGGACAAAGGTGTCATCCAGGATATATGCTTTCTCTAGTAGGTCTTTAGCTTGTATTTTCTGCTAGCTTCTGATAACTGACAAGCAGCTAGTCCGGTAGTTAATACACTCCGTCTTGACCACCAGGGTCACATAACCTTGTCTTCTATCTGCATCATCTTCTCCTGCCTCCGTTTGTCAGAACAAATGTTATGCCAGTGACTCACCTGATAATGCACCAAATCTCTCCATCACCAGCCATAGCATGCACTGAGTCGAGTTTTTATGAAACAAAGGAACATTCGCAGGGTTGATGATCTTTTTGAATTACCATTATCCAGTCTACACCTTGATGTCGTTAGCATCTAGAAATATATGAACGGGATGGTATTTTGTGTGTGTATGTGAATGCTTTTATTTTTTGTGTTGGAGCCACACCTGATGGTGCTCAGAGCTTCCTCTTGGCTCTGCACTCAGGGATCACTCCTGGCAGGGCTCAAGGTACCACATGGGGTGCCAGGGAGCCAATGCAGGCCCACTGCGTACAAGGCAAGCACATTACCCTCTGTACAATGTCTCCAACCACTCTCATTATTTCATTTAGCCTATGTATGAGACGTCCAGGGCTTTGTGCATTTAGGAAGTGTGGAAACCTCTCTCCAATATGGTAGATCCATACAACAGAATATTAGTCATAGTAAGTAATGACACGCTATAGCACAGATGAACTTTAAAAGCATCAGGGTGTGAAAAAGGCTGTCCAAAGGTCACATAGGATCCATGTATATGAAGTGTTCAGAGTAAGCAAATTCATAAAGACAAAAAGATGAGTGTTGCCAGAAACCAGAGGAAAGAGAGAATGGAGAGGTCAGCGCGTAGTGAAGAGGCTCTTTTTGGCAATGATGAAGATGTTATGGGGAAAAAATGGTTAATAGTTGCAAAACTAGCAAGTATACCAAATGCCACTGAAATTAGTCTCAAATGGTGGTTCTCACAAAAAAAAAGTTTATGCATATGAGTATTCTAAAAGGGTGCAAGTTCTCTGTCCTTCACTCATTCCCTTCAAGCACCTATGAAAATTGGGAATAACTGTAGGGCTGTGACCAAGTTTTTTCTTTGCAAACTCTAAATTACATAAACTAGTAAACCTTACCTTTTTCACTGTAGCAACATAAGGCCATGAGACACTCCTGCAGCCTGGAGCCCAAAGCCATTTATAGAGTTGGTTCTTGTGTGAACTTCAGTTAACAGCGACATTTAGAGCAGGCTGCATGCACCAGGGACTGTGGAAGATCACGAGCAGCCCATCAAGCGATTATATTTTGAACTCGCCATGCCAGTAATGTCAGGATGCTGTGGCCTGAAAGCCAGATTGGCCACCTTGGGGGTTTTTAAATCCAAAGAACTTAGTCATATAGACTTCATTGTTGAACCTTGTTAATACAGTGGCACCGTAATACTGGCTCTCAGTATTTTGGGGAAGATGAAGTGAAATGGTGGATCTAGGGTTGCTGAACATAGGGCCTGACTACATGGTGATTTATCTTTACATGTGCCAGGAGCTGAACTTCAGGCTTCATGCTACAACTGTTTTCTTGGCTTTGTTCCTGTTAACAGTCGCTCATGAATATCTCTGAGGACCGTTGACCACTTATCTGGTAGGCTCATTCCCCAGTATATGTGGTCACATTCCCCAGCCATGATCATTTATGGATAGACCAACCAAACCTTTTGGAGATGTGTCTCAAATTTCTTTATTTTCCAAAATGGTCATGAGTTCATAAACACAGCCTCCATGAAAGAAGTTTTATTTTTCTTATGGTCATCTCAGACTCATCTGCCTTCCTCGGCCTATTCCAAATTTATTCTCTTAACCCAAACTGTCTCTCTGTGGCATTTCTCCCATTCTTTTTTGAAGAAGACCGTGGATGGGGCATATATGACAGTGCTCTGGCCTTACTCCTGGCTCTGCACTCAAGTATCACATCTGGTGGGACTCTGGGGACCATAGAGGATTGCAAGAATTGAATTTGGGTCAGTTTTGCGTGCAGGGCAAATTCCCAATCCGTTATACTATTCCTCTGACCCTCCCCCACTCTTCATCAGGCCCATGAAATTTCTCCTCTTATGGGCTTTATAACTCTGGACGAAGTTTATCTTTCTTACAACCTTGTCTGTTGATGCTTTGTCCTCTCTCTAACTTCCCATTCTTTCTCATGCCATCCTTCAACCCCCAGCCCCTCCAAATAACAACCACAGTTGACAGCATCTCAAAATTGAGAACTTTTATTACCAGTCTATTAATTTAATGCATCTCTTCAATTTCTTAAATATATGGCAGAATAAATAAAACATGTATGGTATTTCTAGTGTTTGTCTAGGGCAACCATCTGGTAACTAAAGTGGCACCAACCATCCCAGCTACTCACATTACGTAGCCATAGTATAGAGAGATTTCCATCTCTTTTTCTCTCTCGATGAAAAACTGCACTTTCCCCAAAGAGGTGTATTTGGCAGCGTTCTCACGCTCCTGCTGAGCCTTCCTTTTCATAGCCTCACGCTCTGGTCTCTGCTCTTTTGTGATGGGCTTTGACATTACTGGCTCGGGAACATTGGGCTTTCTCCATGGAATTGGTTGGAAACGGAAGTCTTGGAGGAGAAACTGACTCTGACGTTTGGGTGGAGACTGGCGCTTGCTCACAGAGACAGGAAGGGGCTCCCGCTGGAGAGAAGTGCTAGCTGTTGTCTTGTAGGGAGCAGCAGGTCTAGAAGTTGCAGGCTGAGTAATAGGCCGGCTAGTAGGATTCAGCAAACCTGGTCGAGATGGGTTGGTCGAAATGGGCGGAGCTAGTTTGGCAGGACCAGGCAAAAATGCAGTGGTTGGCCCGGATGAATTGGCGGCAGTTGGCAGAGCTGAGTTGGTAGAGCCAGGCCTGGCAGGGTAAGCTGCAGCAGGACGATGTGAGGCCACAGACTGTGGTCTCCGAGGAACAGGCCGAGCTTGAGGCTTTTCCATGGTTGGAAAAGGCAAAGGTACCAATTTGACCTTCCCAGGAGGTGGCAGCTCATACTGGGATGGAGACGAGCGTTCTTCAAAACTGCTACTTGGTTTCTGCACTTGGACCTGAGTTTTCTCAAGGCTTTTTTCATCCTGTGTAGCACCTGGATTTGGTTTGACAGCAGAGGATGACTGGAAATCGCTGGGCTTCTTTGAGCTACCCAAGACCCGGGAGGAAGAGCAGCCAGGCTTTGGATCACTCTTCTTCCCAAGAGCGTGAAACACTTGCACAGACTCCAGCATGTGCATGCCTAGGCAGCTGCGGGGCTTTTTAAAGGCCTCTTGGCAAAGCTCAGGTTGACTTTTCTTGCGTTTCATCTTAGCAGTGGTGGGCTTCTCTTCTGCCTTGACCTTGTTCCCTGGCTGCTTACTCTCCTCAGCTTTCTTAGAGTTTTCTCTGACCCTTTTTGTCTTCTCCTGCCCATGGCTCTTTGTCTTGCTGATCCTGCTGGATGCAGCTTTCGGAGGTTTGCTGTTAGGTTTGGTCATGGTCACAGGACACCTCTCACTGACTGCAGCATCACAAATAATCCCTGCTCCCCCTACTAAGCATTCTAGGTCTTTTAGCTGGATTTTGGCCTTGGGTTTACCCTCAAGAGGCTCAGAGGCTTCATTTTTGTCCTTCTGGGTTGGATAGGAGGTACCCTTAGTGCCACTTGAATTTTCTTGCACCTGATTCAGAGTGATGATGTCTGTGGTGTTCATTACCTGCAGATCTTTGCACTGATCCAGGTCTTTTAAACATTCAAAGAGCTGGGGAAGATGTATATCTTCCACCAGTGTTGTGATGTCTGCAAAACTACTGCCAGATTCAAGCCCAATTTCAAGTGTTCCTGCGTCCTCCAAACATAGACCATTCTTTCCCTGACCAGTAGTTTCAGTACCAGGCTGTTGCTCTTGGCTGATGGGATCAATGCAAGCTAGGAGCTGGTGGATATCAGGGATTTCTAAAGGGCACAGTGGAGGATCTTGGTTTTCTATTGGGATCTGGTAGGTCTCCAGAGACTTTGAAAGCCCAATTTTCATCTCATCCACATTCTTATCTGTTTGTTCCTGAATTGGAGCTGGAGGCAGCACCAGGTTACTTTGGGCTGGTGTGATTATTGGAACATCCCCGAGTTCAGGTGGTGGATTACTCTCAAGTATTTGAATCCTGCTACTGCAAGACATGGGAAATTCTGAAGTTTGTTTTGGACCAAATGTCTGTCCTAAAGGTTGCAATGCCAGAGAAGTCTCCATTCCCAGGGAATTCATCACTACAAAGGAACCAAAGAAGAAATCAGTTTCCCGTAAATGTGATAATCCCTCCACACATCTAGTGGTGCCACAATTGTGCTCCTTTTAGTAATGGGCAAGGCATTGTTACTGGCTCTTCTAAGGATCATGGACAAGGCCCTGTGCTAGAAGATTGGAAGTAACTGTTGTAGTTCATACTGTTGTTCATGTGGTGCTGTTGTTTCTTAGTTTTCTTTGTATTTGAATGAGTTTCTGTGTACTTTAAAAACCATATTTAAAATAAGAGATTTGCTAAAACATGCTTTAAAAAAAGAGATTTCGGGCAGAGAGATAGTGCAGTCATTAAGGTAATTGCTCTGCACACATCTGACCTTCATTAGATCATCAGTATCACATAAGATCCCTTAAGAAACCTCAGAAATGATACTTCCTCACAGAGCTTGGAGTACACCCTGAGCACTGAAAGCTATGAGTCACATTCTGTCAGCCCCAAACTAAAGTTTTTATTTCAAATCAGAGATTTGCAGACTAATTAATGCTATATAGTGCTTAGCATTATAATATAAGGTATTGACAATTTCTCCACTTTTCTGGAAAAAACAGAACAGCTCATATCATGGAATAGGAGAAGGAATGAAGCAGCACTTCATCATGGAATCTGTACTCAAGTACAGATTTTAGGTTTGATTACTTTGGACAGGATCTCTGAATACAAAGTGTATTCAGATCTTGTTATACATTACAATAAGGGAAAAGTTAAAGTGGTAGTGTAACAATGAGAGTTCTGAAATGTCTTCAGAACACGCAAAAACAATAGTTAAAGAAATGGAGTTTATTGTTAATGTAGTAATACTGGGGGACTGATCAACTATGACAGTGAAAAGTGGGCCATTCCTTGGTGTGCTCCTGATGTTTTCTTATTTGAAAACTAGATAGCCATTATACTATTATACCTTCCAATCTGCATTAGTAGCTCTTGTGTTGAGTGTGAAAATAATTGCTGTAAAATGAGTGAGGGGAGTTTAAACTTAAACTGAGTTTAACTTCAGGTTTCATGAACTTAAAAATCTCAGCTTATTAAACTTAAATGCCACCTGTCTATAGACAGTTTCCCATTTGCAAATTTGATCCCAATATTTGAATGCTGACTTTCCCTTCTCTCCATTTTACTCACCTTGATAACTCGATTCTGTGATGGGTTGAGCAGACACAGAGTAATAGATTCCAGAGGTGGAGGCTGGTGGCTTTTTATTGGGGGGCTGGACCTCTTTTAGAAACATAACCATTTCTGGGGATGAGTTGCTGTAAGTTTGGGAGGCCAAGCCCCTACCCCTTGTATATGACATGGAGCCATAAGATTGCAGGCAGGGACTAAGTTCTCCAGAAAGGAGAGGTCCCTGAGTGTCCTGATGATAGTAATACACCTGGCTTCCTTCCTGGTAGGGAAACGACAGGCTATGAGTCTGATTTGGAATCTGAGCTGGTGTCCTCTCAACCAAACTGGCAGAAAGTGATGGGTACGCAGACACCGTGTTGTTGGTATCTAAGGTTTTCTCATAGTGATCTGCCATAGACATGGAAGAGACAGCAGTGTCTTGGTCAATGATAGTCAGAGTAAAGTCTCCCATGGAAGACTTCTTTTCAGCGCTTCCTGCAATATCCCATTCCAAAACATTTGGGTAGGAAGCAGCCGAAGTGGATATGTGGCTATGGCCAGACATTCCAGACAGCATCGTTGTGCTAGAATGTTGGTAAAGATAGGCACTACTCATCGGTGGTTGGAAAGAGATGCCAGAGGCTGAGGGCAGGAGCCAAGCAGAACTACCAGCTGGAGCAGATACTCTGGAGTAGTTGCAGACACTTCCTGGTAAGGAAGCTGCATTGTTCACCACGGGAAGGGGAAGCGGCAGAGAATGTGCAGTTCCCAATATAGACGGATTTTGAAAATTTTCTGTAAGGAACAAGAGGGTGACAAAAAGAACTGTGAGACTGATAATCTCCTACAACATTTGAGAGGAACAATATTAACTTAGACTTTTAGCTACAGAGAAATTTCTAATACCAACAGTCAACTGAGTTACCATAAGTGTCAAAGCATTTGGGTGGCTGAAGGGCTGGAACATTTTGGCTCTTTGTGTATTTGGCACCGTGCTCCCAAAGTGAAAACAGAGCTATAGAAGCCTCAGGTGATCTTGTATGTACATGGATTTCTTGCTTCCAGCTAGTTTCTCCTTTTCCTATCTCTACCTGTATCTTGTTCCCCTATTGACTCATATGCTATTTCCTAGAATGGAAGCATTTGAAAACTAGGAAGTCCTAAAAATACAAAGTCCTAAGCTAACATTGTATTTGACAAGAAAGAAACCTGAGGTCCAGAGGTGGCATAGAGACTTGTTCAAGTTCTCCCTTTATCTGGGGGGAGAGTGGGGTGGGTGGAGTTTGGACCAGTACCTGGCAGTGATCTTGGGCTATTCCTGGCTCTGTACTCTGGAGTGACCCCTTGTGGTGCTCAGGAGACTGTGTGCAGTGACAGAGATCCAACTGGATTGGCTGCATACAAGGCAAGTGCGTTATCCCTTCCTGTACTATCTCTCTGACCCTTATGTAGTACCAGGTTACAGAACACAGGCATGTGGACTTTCTTGCCAGAATTCTGCCTTGATTACTACAATACCAGAAACTAGGAGAAAGATACCTTACATTAATATAGGCATTTTCAGTCATTACAACTATTACCATTGGAATATTCAGGTTTTCATTTGACTTGTGCAATTCATATCTGTTACCTCTGGTTCACATATGACTCAATGTAGTTGATGAATTAAAGTTTAGCATACTTACCCTGGTTTCTGATCCTACCTCAAAAATGACTACTAGGTTTTTTTCTTAAGTAGAGCATTTGGAAGGGAAACAGTTATTTAAATTCTGAGTCTCAAGTTGCTTATCTGCAAAGTAGTTACTAACAACTCTAAGTATAATAATGCATGCATGAATAAAATCTATTTCATGTGATTTACATGGGAGGCAATATAAAGATAAAGGAAAGATCATGAAAAATATGTATCACAGAACTGAAAAAGAAGTATACAGATATTAAAATCTGGGCTATGTAGCACGCAACGTAGTACAGTATGTGATTGTAGCAGACCCAAGAGTAAGCCCTGAGCCACATTGGATGTGGCTCCAAAACAAAACCAAATAAAACAGTACAGTAAGTTTATCAATAAATTGTGCCATGTATTCAATATGAAGATAGTATTCTCTTTAGGCAAAAACTGTTAGCCAAAAAATGAAGTAGAAGTTGATTTTTGAGTGCACACCAATCCATAAAAGAGAAAATATTTACCAGTAACTTACATGACAAGCAGAAAATAGGAATAAACATGATTGTATTTAATAGACAAAATGTTTGAAATGAGTAAAATACAGAAAGAAACATGTTAAGTACAAGGAAATTACATTATTATTCTCATTCATACCTCTGAATATTAACCGGCAAACAACAGGTATTAAAGATAGCATATGATTTCAGTAAATCACACAAGCAACAGGGAAAAACATTTTAAAATGATCACAAAAAATTGCAAATTTATCTTCAAAACTTAGATCAGAATTATCTTTATCAACCCTAAAATGTCCTTCCCAAAGTTTAAGAAATGATCACCAAATTCCAATTTAAATATTTTTAATGTAGGAAAACTCAAGACTCCACAAAATGTACATAAATGTGTAATTAGACATGTGAGACTTGACTTTTCTCTTTCTTCTTAGGATCTAAAAACAGATGTCGACTGTTATCAAAACACTCTCATGTTAGGAAGAAAATATTTGTAAAGATGACAAGCAGCCTTAACCTGGAACCTACTTATTGCACAAAAGAATCAATTCTCCTGATTCGGGTTAGCTGATATCATTTCTTTATTTTAACAGGCAGAGCATACATGTAGCATAAAAAAATAGAATGTAATGAAAACATTAAAGGTTCTGTTTCTTCCATCCACCTAGATAACCACTATCAGTTATTTATAGGAAGCATCATTACTGAAGTGTGTTTATATTCAATACTTCCAAGTGCCAACAGTATTTTAAGAGACAATAAGGAAAAAAAAAAACACCACCAAAGATGGCTTTCTGATAAACTGCTTTTCTTACTGGTACCCTATTCGAGGCATAGTTTACTTTCTAGTCCTAGAATTTATTAAAGTAAACTGCTTTGACTTGCTCTCAATATATTTAACTCAGCATATTTAGCATATATTCTTTGTTTTGATTTTAAATCTTTGATTCTCTCCAACATTCTATCCCCAACGGTTTCCCCTTCTTTGATAATTCCCCTCCATATTCTCTTTTTTTAATTTCCTATTATTTTCTCCCTTATATTATCTTCTACTTCTTGGCTTCTGTTGGTCAATGCTTGATGAAAATGACCCTAAAATTCCTTACCTTTGAGGACCTGCCTCCCTACCCCTCAGCACTACACACCTCTCCATGGCCCATTTTTTTCTTATCATCTAGTTTAGATAGAAAACTCAAAGACACACGATAATTACTTTTGAATAGCTCTAAATTTAAAATACTAAAGTATAAATACAAGTGGAGAGACCGTTACAGAGAAAACATCCCGGTATCTATTAACAATTTTCAACGGCACCTACATTTTCTGTTTCTGTCAAAATACTGTCTCTGATTTACTTTTTTTCATGGATATCATGTAAAAATCATTAGTAAAAGGAAAAAGAAATTCAGAGAATCAACACTCATATGTAAACATGAATTTGAGATTGTAAGTATGTCTAAAATGAAATGTAATAAATGAGGAAAAACACTTTGTATGTAAGAGAAAGCCAGTGTCTAAAATCACACAGCAAATGTCAAAGTCAAGCTAAAATGAGGCTTATAAAATTCTACTTGAATACTTTCTTCCATTACTTACATGCTGTTTTTACTTGCCTATTCATTTTAGGAATGAGGAATCTAATGGAAAGCCTTTAAAAGTGTTATCCCTTACCTGACATGGTCAGCGAAGAGGAAATATTGACAAAAGGTCGATGAGAAGAAGAGATGATGCGAGAGTATGTCCGTACATTGAAGTGGAAGACCACAAGTGTCCAGATGATTGGTCACTGGAGATTGTTCATTGGTCACTGGCCACTTGCGATGATCCAAATTTGTTTACAGACAACTGCATGGGAACCCCAAGATTCTACCAGGTGGTGGTAGGTGTGGTGGGAGAATGATGTCATAAAGCAGGCAGTTGAAAGGTAGAGGCTAGCCAATAAGGAGGTCAGATTCCCAAGAAGGAGACCAGATTGGGTAGAGAGAGAGGTAGAATGAAGGAGGCTAGGAAGATGGAATCCTACAAGACAGTTGTAACAGTTTCAACCTTCTTCAGACTCTTATGTTAGGGAAATACTCCTATTAAATAGTAACTTTGGTAATTTATTGCACAGTCAACAACATTAAGGTATTACTAATATATTTTATATATTTAATACAATTAAATTACATTTACATTTAAAATTATGCAGTTATATAGTTATATACAGAAGTGTATTTTAAATATATATGAAAGAAAATTGATTTTTTACAGAGGGAGAAAAGGGACATCTAGGTTGAGATTGAACAATTAGAATTGTTCTGAAAGTGTCAGTCAATCTCACTAGTGAAGTTCATGGCAGCTTTAAAAGTCTCCAATGGAAGGGATGAGGGGTTCTTTTTATAACTCGGTTGTAGAGTGACTTTGTGTGCACTTGAGTGCACTCCTGGAGAATGGTGTGGCCCAAGGCTTTTTTGTTTCTTTCCCTTGATTTCTGATCTTCCTTCAGCTGCTCTGGACTAGGCAGCTGTATCTAGAGATACTAGGAAGCTGTATCTCTTTCTATAATGAAGAGAGGGAAATAGTGACTACATAATGAAGGTATTCTTTCTGGGGGAAGCTTGATCTTGAATTCTTTTCTGGGAACGGGAGGACTGCAGGGGCTTCCCAAGTGCTCGGGGCAGGCCAGGGTTCTCTTCCAGCAATTATTGTCCAACTTGGCCAGCAGTTTTAGGGTCTGAAATTGCTGGGCTACTCAAGTCCTGTGGTGTTAGAGACCACCAGGGCCATCCCAGCAGTGCTCGGGGGTTTCCAGGGCTACCTGGTGAGTTTAGCAGGGCACCTGTGCTACCTGGACCAAACAAGAGTCAGGTGCATAAACGCATGTGCCTTAACCCCTGTAATTTCTCTCTAGCCCCTTGATCTTACATTATTGCACTCATGGATATAATTTTCTGTGAATCTCTTTGTGTTTTTTTGTTTTGTTTTGTTTTGTTTTGTTTTGGGCCCAACCGGTTGTGCTCAGGGCTTACTCCTGGTTTTCCTGCACTCAGGGATTATTCCTGGCAGGCTCAGGAGACACCCTACAGTGATGCCAGAAATTCAATCCCAGTCAGTAGCTTGCAAGGCAAACCACCTTACTGGATGTACTATCTCTCTGGCCTTCCAGTGAATTCTCTTGTTAGTAATTTTCTATCACCCTGAAGGCATCTCCACTCTTTTTAAAATTTTATTTTTGCAGGGGAGGTGTTGGGCCTCACTAGGCTATGTTCAGAGGCTACTCCTGGCTTTGTGTTCAGAGTGATCCCTGGTGGCGTTTGGGGACCATACTGGTGTCTAAGATTGAGCAAGAATGGGGGCAGGATACAAGGCAAAAAACTTAACCTTTGTACCTTCTCTCCGGCCCCCTTTTTTTTTGCTTTTGGGGTAACACCCAGCGATGCACAGGGGTTACTCCTGGCTCATGCACTCAGGAATTACTCCTGGCGCTGCTTGGGGGACCATATGGGATGCTGGGAATCGAACCTGGGTCGGCTGCATGCAAGGTGAATGCCCTACCTGCTGTGCTATCGTTCCAGCCCCTCCAGCCCTCTTTTAGTTCTTTTATCTGCAAGAAGCTTTGGGTACAAATAAGATCTCTTTTCATTTTTATTTAAGTGTATCCAGTACAGCTGTAAATGTAGCATGAATTTCATGCTTGTAAACAGTCAGCAAAGAATCTTGGGTGTCTAGAATTCTTTCAGGCTTGGGAGCAAAGCCAAGCAACTGAAGAGAACAGAGAAATAAGGGAACATGAGTACAGAATATGGAACAAGCAAGGCGCAAGAGCACAAGGAAAATAAAAGATTTGTGGGGATTTGGTTTGGTTTTGGAACCAAACCTTGAAGTTCTCAGACTAGTCCCCACTTGATAATTGGTGCTAATTTCTGGCAGTGCTGGGAGACCATGCAGTGAGGGGAATGAACTCAGACTTCCAGCATGCAACGCACACTCTTCAGCCCTCTGAGGTGTCTTCCTCAGCTCGGGTTTTTGTTTCTAATGAGAAACAAGCTCATATGTTTACATACAGTTGTAATATCACTTGTATCACCTGTATTATTTGTCATCCCATTGCTCATTGATTTGCTCGAGCGGGTGCCAGTAACATCTCCATTCATCCCTGTCACGTTCTAGTGTAGCCAATGGTGTCTGCTTCCTCCAGGAACACGAAGAGTGTTAAACCATTCATTCAGGGTCTTGAGGAAGAAGTCTGACTATCTTGTAGGTAGGCGGCCAGGCGTTCTTTTGACATCCTATGTAATCCAGTCGGTAACGGCTCTAGTCCAGTGGTCGTCTCCAAATCGCATTATGTGTCCAGTCCATCTGATTTTCGACACCTTGGCAAACTATAAACAGTTGTAATATAGAAATAAATATGTATAGTTAATAAGATAATACCGCAATTGGCATGATTCCTACATGCTAAGGAGAATAATCTTCAATATGCTTTTCTTACCTTTTTAATATTATACTATCTCATTAATTGGCGTGTTTGTAGGCTATAGACTTCATAGCTACTTATTTGGTTGCATCAGGGATCACATTCAGAGCCTCAGACATGAAAGGGTTATGCTCTGCCACTCAGCCACATTTCTAAACATAGACGGCTCTTAAGAAATCAGATTTGCTTACCTGTTTTTTCCTTGTCATATTCTTAAGGAATTCAACATTGTCAGACACGTTCCAAGTTTTAAAATAATTATTAAGAAGCGTCACAAATTACTTGACTTGAAAGAATCTGTGGAGAAATTTAAAAAGGAGTCTGTGAAAAGGCAATGTGGTGAATTGACCCTGTTTCTGACCATGTTGACATATGCCATTCTACTTACAAATTCGATAGGTGATAGGTCATCATTTTGATACTTACCTGATAACGTGATAATTATCTTGTATGCCTGCATTTTGTCTCATTTTGGCTTTTCAGGGATGCCACACCTGGTGGTGCTTGGGGTACCAGGAATTAAACTGGGGTCAACCATATGCAAAGCAAGCATCACACCTCCTATATTATCTCTCTATTCTGTTTGCTTATTGACCATCTGTCTTTATTCCTTGTTGGCGTGTTGACTCAACTTGTCTCCTCATTTTTTTTTGATGGAGTGGATTGTTTTTTGTTGTTTTGGCTATTGGTCCTTGTTAGATGCATAGTACACAAATATTTTCTCTCATTCCTATGATATCTTTTTGTTTTAATTACAGCTTATTTCACTGTGTGAAAGACTTTTAGTTTAATACAATTTTGTTTATTTTTGCTTTTGTTTTCCTTATCAGTGGAATTGTATCTCCAAAGACATCATTGAAACAAATATCATGGCATGCTTTGCCTATTTTCTTCAGATGTTTTGTGGCTTCCCAGATATCAACCCAATCTTTAGTTCATTTTGAGTAAACTTTTGTGCATGATCCAGTTTTATTGCTTTTCTATCCTGTTTTTCCAACTACTTGTGAAAGAGATTTTCCGTTCTCCTTTTTATGTTCTTTTCTAGGTCTGCATTTTTTTATGTTATGTCCAACTGAGTTTGTTCTCACCCCAAGCTTGTGTCTTACAGCAAATTGGTACATGTTTAGCCTTTATGGTTTGTAAAATAATTACATCACTTTTCATATATTGTCATATTATAGATGTTTGTACCACTCACTTTTGGCCACTGCTGACAGATTAGATACTTTAAAAATATTCCAAAGGAAGATATTGTCATATTACAGATACGTATAGTATTTACTTTTAGCCACTGCAGACAGGTTAGATACTTTAAAAATATTCTGAAAGAATATTTTGTCATTTCACAACAATTTGTTTTGTTTTACTTGCTGTGCTAGGGATCAAATCCAGAGCCTCACATACGAGGCTTTACTTAAGCCATATCCCCAATAAGCACCAAATTTGAATACGTGCCTAATTCTAAGTTTATAAACAAAACTGTACTTACACATCTTTCCCCCCAAATATGAGTTCTCTAATTAAACTATTTTTAATACATGGGCGTTTTTAGAATTGTAAATGTTTGTGAATTTAAATTTAGCTACCCAAGAAATGTTAGCTAGGGGCAAGAACAATAGTACAGAAGGGAAAGCACTTGTCTTGCATATGGTGGATCTGGGTTGAAATCCTGGTGACACATATGGTCCCCTGAGCACTACCAGAAGTAATTCCTGAGTGCAAAGTCAGGAGTAACCACTGATGTTGCCAGGGTTCACTCCCTCAAAAAAGAAATCTTAAAGTTAGTGATTTTTTTTTCTAATTTAAACATTTAATAATTCTGATTCTCATTTTACTCAGCTCTGTAAAGAGTACTATAAATCTACATAATATGCTTTTAGAAATTATAATCTAAAATATAAATATAACCAAATATCATTATTGTAGCATTATAGCACTGTCCTCCCATTGTTCATTGATTTGCTCAAGCGGGCCCAGGAAACGTCTCCAGTGTGAGACTTGTTGTTACTGTGTTTGGCATATCGAATACATCACGGGTAGCTTGCTAGGCTTTGCCATGCGGGCGAGGTACTCTTGGTAGCTTATAATTGTTTAAGATTTCATCTGGAATTATCTATTCTGACTTTAGACCTACCACGGAACATGCTGTCCTTTGCCGTTCAATTTGTAGTAGAATTCAATTGTTCCAAAAGATACAGATCTATGTTTTATATTGAGTTAAAAACTTAGACTTAAGCTCCACTCTTAAATCTCAGGTTTTTAATATTCCCTCACATGTGAACATATATATAGTCATCACTGTCCTCCCGTTGTTCATCGATTTTGCTCGAGTGGGCCCAGTAACATCTCCATTGGAGACTTTGTTGTTACTGTGTTTGGCATATCGAATACATTGCGGGTAGCTTGCAAGGCTCTGCCCTGCGGGCTCCATACTCTAGGTAGATTGCTGGGCTCTCTGAGAGGGGTGGAGGAATCGAACTCGGGTCGGCCATGTGAACCCCAGAAAAAGATTCCCCTCTGGGTGGGAGTATAGTTTGATATTGTTTTGAGCTTAAGTAGTATAGTTCCAAGATTTTAGTTTGCATATCCTTATTTCCAACAATTCTGCTCTTCTCGGCATTTATATGTAGCTGCAGACAGTGCAGCCTGTCTGCAACAGAAAAGAAAAAGGAAAAAATGCAAACAGCCTGAAAAACAACTAAAAGTTCATCAATATTTAGGATGTTTATATAAATTATACTTATCATTCACAGAGCACTATAAATCAATTTATAAAATAGCCACAGCCATGCTGAGACCACTCTCCACACGCTAGGACAAGCCTCACGCATGAAGGAACCGGCAGAGGAACCCAGGTGTATGGGACCAGGGGCTGAGATCTCCAAGCCTGCTCAGTTTGGGGCTACACTAGCACCGTGACAGAAATGCGTGGAGCTGTTGCTGGCGCTGGCTCGAGCAAATCGATGAACAACGGGGTGATAGTGATAAAACACCTGAAAGATGTTCGTACTATAGATTGGGCAAATGAATGTTTAAGATGGGTCATAGACGACCGTGCACAGTAAGCTGCTTGTTCAGAACATGTTCCTATATAAACATGTGCAAACATAAACAATATATGCTCCAAAATGTGCAAGTGTAAACCATCTGCAAGAACTTGGAAAATATCTTTAAGAACTCAAGAATTTCTGGGGCAGTGGGGCTTTTTATAATGGAGCTTGCAGTTTTGAAGTCTCAGCCGAGGGGCGAGAATCCTTCCACCCGCGGTTCCCGGTCGCCGACTCCGGAGGGGGAAGGTCGCCACCCACCAGAGGCGCGTTGACGGATTCGCGTTCTCCGCCCCGCCCCCGCCCCGCCCCGCCGCGGTGACGTCATCCGGGCCGGCGACGGCGCGTGCGCGGTGGCCGGGCGCCGGGAGGAGGGCTCGCCCGGCTCTTCCGGCCTGGGAGCGGTGGCCCTCGGGGAGCGCCGGACTGGCTGCTCGGGCGCTCTTGGCCTCGGGTGGGCGGCATCTCGGGGCCCCCATGAGCCATTGGCATCCTTCCCGCGGCGGCTGGGGTCAGGGGCACGGCTTTGCGGGACGTTCCCGGGCTAAAAAGAAGGGCGGAAACCACGTCCCCGAGAGGTAACCCGAGAGGGAGTCCGGAGCGCTCGCGCTCTGCGGACGTCACTGCGGCCCCCGCGCGGGGTCCCGGTCCGGGAGGCGTCGGCCGTGCCCCAGGGCGACCCCGGGGGACGGCCCGCTGCCGGGGCTGGGGTGGGGTGGGGTGGAGGGGCTGATTTGCACCCCCGGGAAGCGGGACCCCCGTCCCCCCTCCTTTTCCCCATCCCCTGGTCAGGTGCAAGACTGCTGGCGGGCGGGCACCCCTTCACCCACTCGCCCAGGCTGTGAGCGAGAAGGACCACCTCCCTCTCCCGCACCCCCACCCCGCGAGTCCCGCCCCACGGGGCCCCAAAATCCGAATTTGTAGCCCCAGCAGTTCCTCAAGGGCCTCCGTGGGGGAGATCTTCCTCTTGATTTGCAAACGCTGACTTTGGAGGCGTTCCCCCAGATGAGCAGAGAACTCTTCATTCCTTGAGACCTGTGTGCTTCCTCTTCCTCTTCTTCCCCTCTTGCCTTTTGAATCCTCTTCATTTGCATCCCTTTACAGAACCTCCCTGTTTTGTTGTTGTTTGTTGTTGTTTTGCGATAGGGTTCCCCAAAGGAGTGAGGTTGTTTGGCCACTCTTGTTCCCCTCGTCATTTTTCACCTGGACTTTTTAATAGGTTAAGTTGGGGGGCACTGGGCAGAAGCGCCGTTTTTTTTTTTTTTTGAATAAAGGCCACTTGCCCTGCCCCGTATTAGAAGAAATAACTCCAGTACCTCCTCTGTTTCTCCTGGTCCATCTTGTGCCAGCTTTCTCCCGCAGAGTCTGTGCCACGGGATTTACGGGATTTAACTGCTTAATTGTGACTCCTCTTGCAGAAATCAGCCCAAACGCTGCTTTTCTCTGTGACTCCTGTTCACACTCCGATTTTGGTCAGATCTTTGATAAGAGGTGAATGATTTTTGACGTTCCCTCCTGATACATTTGATGACAGGAGAACTAAGATTAGCTGAAGTCATTTAAACGGAAGCAATTTTAGTCAACGCTAAATGGATTGCTGGTACCGTAGTGTTTCGAATGGGGCTGTTTTCCTGGACTTTAGAGCCACAGAAGTGCAGGCCATCTCCAGTTTTAAGTAGCTTTATTTGTTAAAACCTTTGCATTGTTTTATAACCCTGTATCTGTTTACAAGATAGAGAACCAGGAAGAGGAAACAAACATGTAGGTGAATGCTCTTCATTTTATAAATTAATATGCATTTTATGTACTATAAGTAGGTAAAGGTGAGGTTGAAAAGCGAACACCAAAAAAAAAAAATAAATAATTATCTGTCTGGGCTGTGGTATTCATTTTCAAGGTTCCTGTACTTAAAATTGGCCTAACCAAAATTGTGTTAATAGGTGGAAGGACTATATCCCAGTTGGACAGCGGATGCCTGGAACTCGTTTCATTGCTTTCAAAGTTCCTTTGAAAAAGGTAAGCAAAATTAATTTGATAGCCTTTCAGGAATTTGAATTCATCTTGTAGGCTTTCAACTGTCATTCTTCATTTTTCTTTTTTATAGGAAATTCTTAGTAAAGTACTGTACTAAAATTCATAAGCTACTTCCGTGCTTAATTTTAAGAAAAAATGCAATATTCTATATAAATAATAAAATAATGTAATAATATATGTTTAATATGTAAGTGTTTGGGCATGACTGTTCCGAAACAAAGAAATACTTATACTATGAATGCAAGAACTGCAAAGATAGTCTGATCTTGATTGCATATATTGCCTTAGAGGAGTTGTTTCTGTAATAGTAAACAGTTCTTAATAGCTGTTATTTCCAAATAAAACAACTTATATTTCACTTAGCTGATAAACTGTGACTATCCTTAGAAATTCAATTAGATTTGTGGGGAAAGGGAGAGAGATCTCACTCACATTCAAGATATAAAGAGACGTTGTAAGGGAATAACTAATGCATGATAGCAATAGAAATGAAGAGCGGAACTGGTCCTTGGTAGGAAACTTACCACTGTGGGGACAGGGGAGATAGGTCAGGGGAGGGACCACTATGACAGTGATAGAAGTGACCACTCTGGACCAGGACTAGGTGCTGAAAGGAGACAAAATGATACTCTATCAGTAACAGTATTGTAGATACCATGCCTAATAGGGAAGAGAAAAAGACAAAAGTACCTGCCTCAGAGGCCAGCTGAGAGGCGAAAGGAAAGCTGGGGATACTGGTGGAGGAAAATAAACATATCATCCTCATTTGGTGTATAAATACTTAATGAATCTTTGTTGAATTATGAAATTTGTTCTGTGTTCCCCTCCTTTGTCTGATCATTCTCAAGTCTGTGCTCTATGGCTTCTAAAGTAGATTCCCAAAGTTCCACAGAGTCCCAGTTCAACCTTAAAGTAGTACATCAGTAAGCGAGAAGATAGGAAAACTTTAGTGTACCCTGTCCAGTCACAAATCTTCACTGTGTGATGTTATTTTGAAAAAGCCTCTTCTTTTTCTCATGCTTGTTACTTAGTGTTGGGATTGCTTAAGGATTTGCAACGCTCTGTAACCACTCTTCCCTCACTATGCAGTACTTAGCATTAGGGAAATGAATTACTCTAGTGTTGCAATGAAATTAGCGTTTTTTTCTGGGTGTTTTAATGAAGTCCCCCATAGAAGAGAAGCCGTTAGGCTTGGAATGCAGTAGAGCACTTGCTTGCCTTGCATGCATGAGGTCCTCAGTTTGATCCCCGGCACTGCAAAAATAAAATTTTAAATATATTCCTTAGTGCTTAACAGTGTTTTCTCAAGCATACTGCAGTAGAGTGGGCTGGAGCGATAGCACAGCGGGTAGGGCCTTTGCCTTGCATGCGGCCGACCCAGGTTCAATTCCTTCACCCCTCTTGGGGAGCCCGGCAAGCTATCAAGAGTATCTCGCCCACACAGCAAAGCCTGGCAAGCTCCCTGTAACATGTTCGATATGCCAAAAACTGTAACAAGTCTCATAATTTGTTGTGAGATGTTATTGGTGCCCACTCAAGCAAACTGATGAAGAACGGGAGGACAGTGCTACGGTACAGTGCTACTGCAGTAGAATATGTCAGCCATCAAATGTGTTGCAAAAAATCATGGCATTCAATTATTATTATTTATAATAATAACAGGGTTGATCAAGGAAGAAATCCATGAGGGTTTGTGACCTAGTTCCCTAAGCTTGATTATTGTTCATATTACCATATCATAGAGATGATCATTGATCCCATAGCTCATAGTCTGCAAGAAACTGACTGGAAAAATTGCTTAATTTAATGTTTTGGTGGTGCCCACGAGAAGCCAGGGTCTTTCACCTGCTTGGCATTTGCTCTGCTGCATAGTTGCATCCCCAGCCCTGTGTGTTTTATTTTAATTAACTCTTTAAACATTTTTCAACATTGCATGGAAGAGTTAACATTATAAATCTAAGTTAATTTATAAGTGAATATCATCTCGAATAGGATTTTTTCAGAGTTAGGCTGATTCTAAAACTCATTTAGAAAAAAGAAATTTAAATAGTCATGAAATTTTTGAAAAAGAATCGTGTAAGGAGGTCATCTAGCCCTATCAGCTATATTAGTCCATAGGAGTCTGCCCTAGTTCATAGAACATAGGGCAGGTTTTAGGGTGTGAAACAGTTGTATATGGTATACTCTAAGGTGGAAAAAAATGTCATTCTACTTTGGTCACACCTACTAGATGCATAGTACAAAGAGTGACTCATAATGTAGGTAGTAGATTTTAGTTGATGATGATACGTCAGTATGTAGGATAACATTGCTTTGTCCTTCTTCCACAAGAAACTTAGGTTTATCTGGTTACACCCATCAATCTGGTTACACCCATCACAGTGCTCCTGAAGCACTTCCACTTCCATTGTGTTTATCTCTAAACAGTCTTCCCTATGCTCTCCTTCCCACCCAGTTAATCAGCTTTCCCCTTAATCAGACTTTGTTAATTTATAAGATCAGTTTCCCAGAAATCTATGATTTTATATGTATGAGTGAAATATTGCCTTTCTCCTCTCCTTATGCCTTATGAACATTTTACCTTAAAGTAATGTCTTTTTTGTATAGATACAGGAAGGCCATTAACATCATGCTTTGTAACTTAGGATTTGATTGGCTTTGAATATTATTCACTCCCGGGCATCTGCTTCCTCGACTTAAGTCTCAGTTGCCCTTAGTTCCTAACACCCTAAAAGCAGGGTCCCAACGAGGGACTGAATGGACCCAGGGCAAGCGGTGAGCTACCCTGGCAGCGAAATGGGCCAGGCCAAAGTGCCACGATTCTTAACTATAAGTTAAGAGTTTGATCATAGACAAATGCTGTCATGATCCAAAGGTAACGACGAGACTAGGATCCTGCTAGGGGTGGGAAAGACTATCTGGCCTGAGCACTGTAGTCTGAGATCGAGATGGCCCTAGGAGAGCAATTCTATAAGTTTAAGATATTTCTTACTGTATCCGTACAAAATGATTTATATTATATATTCTCATATGCTTGTCGGACAAGGAGAGGAGAGGCACACCCATGGGATTCTGCTCTAGGGTGGGTCCTCCTGCTGAGAAAGGATCTGTCCTAGGAGTGGCCTTCCCTGAGGCTAAGATTTCTACCCCTATTGATTTCTACCCCTATTGATTTCTACCCCTATTGATTGTGACTGCACCTATGTGTAATTGTTTTCCCAATTCCTCTTGGAGAGAAATATAATGGGACTGTAGATTGGACAGAGGGGAGCAGAGAGGAGAGACAAGAGCAGAGACAGAAACAGAGGGGAACAGAGACAGAAGGAGAGAGGGAGCAGAGACAGAAGCAGAGACAGACAAGAGAGACTGGTGTAGATGAAGAGAGGAATGGAATAAACTGCGACTAATACCTGCCAGCCTGGCCCTCGTTTCCTTCCTCTGCCTGACCATCGCCATCAACCTCTCCAGGGTGGGAGAAGGGGAGACTACCAAACGCGGGCTGCAGGAGAGATAGAGCCACGGCCGCTTTGGGTGCCGTGCCCCCTATTTGTGTGAGTTTACACATCAGTATTTGTTTATTGATTGTAGCAAATAAACCACACTGGTGTCAAATGTTGGTAGAGAAAGCGGGGTTTGGTGAGAGAGGGTGCAAGTGGGACTACTCTACTTTTCTCTTGGTTTTCCTGAGCACCTAGTCTAATTATTATTGTTGTTGTTGTTGTTGTTGTTATTATTGAAGCAAGGTAGCTTTTATTGAATGATACTTGCTTAAAAAGATGTGAGAGTTGGGGCCTGACCGAGTGTACAATGAGTAAGGCATTTGCCTTGCATGTGGCCAACCAGATTCAATTTCTGACACCCCCATATGGCCCCTCAAGCCTGCCAGGAAAGATCCCTGAGTTCAGAACCCTGAGCAGTGCCCGGTGTGGCCCAGCACCAGCCACCTGCCCCCCTGCAAAAAGAAAAAAACAAACAAACACCACCAAATCTATGTGAGGAGTGAGAGAGGGGGGAAATGTGTTCACGAGTGAAATAAGCAAGCAAAGAGACAAGCAAGTGAGGTACAATTCAGGGCAGAATACATGCTTGTAGAGCATACATATACACACATGTGTGTGCTTGTGTGAGTGGGTCTTTGAGTCTTTTTGAGGGATGGGGATATCCAATTACTTTCTTTGAAGGATTGGTGCAAACACAACTTACAGGAAAAGTAATGGTAAACCCAGTATTTAAGGCTTAGCTCTCATTGTCATGTGTCCCAGTCTGCTAATCAGAGACATTTTGGGCCCCTGTATAATCCCCAGACTGCTGCTGCAGCCCCCACCACCACCACCCAAGTTTGGTGGTCTTGAACTGCTTGCCCAGCCAGGGTGGCCTATGCCATGGGGCAGACAGAGGAGGAAATGAGGGCCAAGCCAGTTGGTTGATCAGTTGTCAGTTGTTCCATTCTCCCCACATGCCTGTTCAAGTCTCTCTGAGCCCCCCATTCTAGTCTCACACTGCCCCACATTCCTGTCTCCTCCTGTTTCTCCTGGTTATCTCTCTGTGCTCCATCTTGCTGCCCTGCTCTCTGTCTCCTCCCAACTCCCAACTCTGGGCAGAGGCTACACCCAGTGGTAGCAAAATCAGCATAAGAAACCCCTTCCTGACAGTCCATCGAGCTCCAGGTCAGAAACACCACCTAGGAGTGTTCCTCTTCTCCTTAGTTCCAATAACTTAATTAACATCTTAATTCTACTTCTTAATATTAGTTATTTTTGTATGGACACAGTAAGAGATACATTGAGCTTGTAGGGTGGCTCTCCCCGGAACATCTTGCCAGACTTAAACTACAGTGCTCAGGCCAGATTAATCTTTCCTAACCCTAGCAGGGTCTGAATCTAGTTACTACTTTTTGAATCATGACAGAATTTGTCCATGACCATGTTCTTATCTTATAGTTAAGCATTATGGCACTTTGGCCAGGCTCATTTCGATGCCAT